CTCCTTTCTTTTACCAGTTCCACCTATGTGAAGATAAGTCAAAGGTCCTGCTTGACCATGGTTGCCTTTGCTTGGAAGCATGGAAGAAGTGATTCCTCTGTGTTCACCCTCCTCTTTATAGACTGGACACTGGTTCAAGTCCATCTGGTGGGGTCTCTTCGGCCTCCTTGATCAAGAGGACAGGTGACCCACCATCATTACAAGACATTTTGAGAGATGCTCATAGTCCCCTGGAACTAGTCGACCTAGGAGGGCAAGGAGCAAAAACTGTCCTTTATGTCCCTCTGACCAAATTAGTATAGGCCTCAGAGTATGTCTGTTAAACATTCAAGAAGGTTAGTTTCACCAGTCTGGTACTTTGATTGCTGCGAGATAAGGAACAGCTGACCTTCCTAAAACAAAGACCTCTAAATAGGCTGACTAGATTCACCAGACAGACAAATAATGGGGAATGGCTGGGGGTACCGACAACACAGCAGACAGTATCAGGGATATCAGAGTATAAGGGCTCTCTCTAGTGGGGAGAGGGAGGCAATGGGAGGGTGCCATCTGGGAAGTGGGTATATAGTTGAAAAAGACGGTTTGGGATGTTCTGTGTGATGCGCCCGTGCGCGCACACACACACATACACAAAATCAATGAATTTTAAAAATGTATTACATTTGAGGAGAAAGCATGGAAATTTACATCATGTTAATTAGTAGAGGTGATAAACATTACCATGAAATCTACCCGATGACTTTATAGACATACATAGGTGCCTAGGATCCAAGTGCAACCAATTATAACTAGTAATAATCAGATACATACAGATTAGAGAGGCATATACCAACATCTCTAGCAAAAACAGTGAGTCTTTCTGCAAGGAACAATATATTCTAAAATGAAATGGAGATTTTTTTTTAAGGTTAAAAACTCATTCAATCTTATGTCTTACAGGGCTTATACTGAGTTCAATATTGTATAACTATATGAATTCATCTGTGAAACTAGAAACTTGAGAAAGAGCTGTACTCGGGCTCTGGAGTGTGTTACTGAATATGTTAAAGCTGTAATGAAATGCTTCTTCTAATTATGTAGTTATTAAATTTTTAAAAAAAAATTTACTTCATGTTAAATAGTGGAGGTGATCAACATTACCAGTGAAATCTCCCTGATGACTTTATATCCATACTCAGTTACTAAGGATCTGAGTGTAACTGACTGTGACTAGTAATAATCACGTACATAGAGATTAAAGACACATGTGCAAACATGTAAGCGTTAGTAGCATTAAAAATGTAGGAGACCGTGTATCTTAAAATGAAATGGAGATCTCCTTTAAAGGGTAAAAACTCATTCAATTTTATGTCTTACAGGGTTTATACTGAGTTCAATATTGTATGGCTGTATTAATTGAAGTGTGAACCTAAAAATTTACAGCCACCTTTGAAAGAGATGTATCCTTGCTCTGGAGTGTGTTACTGAATATGTTAAAGCTGTAATGAAATGCTTCTTCTAATCATGTGGTTATTAAATTTAAAAAATTTAAAAAAATAAAAATAAAATAAAATAAATCTTTAATTAAAAAAAAAAAGAACTATTTTCCTCCCTTTGCCTGGTATACACGCCTCCTTCCCTGCCCACTGGACTGGTTAGTGTGAGCAGGGCCAGGCTGGTTCTGAGAGGGGACCCTTGAAAATGTTGGCTAAGCTTGCACAGGGAACCCACAAGGCATTGCAGGAGCCGCGCTTTGCATATATACAGTTCTATAGCTACTTACATATCCATGCACACGCATGGATAGCTATGTAAGGTAGTACTTTGTATGCTTGTGCTGTGACTCTGCGTGGGTCTCCTGACCTCCAAGGAATCCCTGCAGTTTACTGAACTTAGGGAGCAGCAACATGAGGCAAATAGCTCTTTTCCTTTCCCTGGTGACTGGTACCCTCGGGTCCCAAGAATCTGCAGTGCCTCATCTCTCAAGAAGCTAATCAAAGAAGACAGAAGAGCAAGGGAATACGTGGAACCGGGAAGGGTGCACCGAGATGATGCCTCTGGAGCTAAGAGCTTTGATTCTGTGGTTTTATGTACAAAACCTTGGGAAACTGGAGGGGAGGCAAAGCCTTCCAGAATCTAAAATCCTCTGAGATCATTTCTATCAGCGCGCCTGGAAGTCACACCACCGGCTGGTGTCAGGCACCGGGGTCACAGAATCCAGGCAGAGCCACCAGAGGCAGCAAGTCCACCAGGGCGCTATGCGCTTTGGTGGGCTTTGCGTTCAGAAGACGTGTCCCCGCACCATCTTCCCGGGCGCTGTGCGGGGGGTCTGAAACAGCCCAGCTGGCGCCTCCAAGGGGTGTTTCTAGAAGCTCCATCTCTGCTGCCTCCCCTCCTCTTTGGATTTTGGTTTTTACCCGGGCCAGGAGCTGCTGCAGCTCCACAGCGTCCGCCCTCCGAGGGGTCCAGTGCCACCGACGCCGCTTCCTCCCGGCTGTCCCGAGCGTTTGATCCCCCAGCACCCCGGTGTCGCGGATGCTCTTGTACCAGGGCCGGGGACTCCCCACCCTTCCGCGCGACCCCGCGCCAGGGCAGGCGGTGCTTGCGGCGGGCAGGGGCGGGCGGCGGAGCTGGGACTCAACCGGGGGTAGTCGCCTCCTCTGCATCCTACCAGAGCATCCCTGAGCCGGACCTCATCCTCCGCCTCTGCCTCCGCACCTGCCAGCCTCCGCCTCCCGCCGCCCGTCGCCCTCTTGCCTCCCCTCCGCCTCGCCCCCGGTGGCTCTGCCTCGGTGGAGCCCGGAGGGGGCCTGTGGCGCGTCGGCCGCCCGCTCTGCTAGGCTCTGCCCGGAGGCGTGCATGCCCCTGCTGCCCGCCGCACTCATCAGCAGCATGCTCTATTTCCAGATGGTGATCATGGCAGGGACGGTGATGCTGGCATACTACTTCGAATACACCGACACGTTCACCGTGAACGTGCAGGGCTTCTTCTGCCACGACAGCGCCTACCGCAAGCCCTACCCGGGCCCGGAGGACAGCAGCGCCGTGCCCCCGGTGCTCCTCTACTCGCTGGCGGCTGGCGTCCCCGTGCTTGTGGTAAGCTCTGGGCTGCTAGCCCTCGCTCTCACCTTAGGGGTTAAGGTTCCAGGAGGACCCGTGTGCGCCAGCCTCTGCCATCTAACTTCCTCCAAGTTAGTGTCAGCCCTTCCCCCAAGGACATTGTTCCAGGGAGTGTGGGGGAGGTTGCAAAGGCAGCCCCTGTCTCTCCCCATGCCACCCCCGCACACCCCCTGAGCCCCCGGGGCTGGGTGATCCAGAGACAGATAAGAGATCTGCAGGAGATGGTGAGTGGGTGTCTGGATGGATGGGAAGGGTGTGCGTCTCTGGGGCGAATTTCCACTTGATCCAATCTGTGGCCCTGGCTTCATTGCTCATCTCCTCTTGATCTTGCCAGGAAGAGCTGCAGCAGCAGCAGCAGCCGGGTGGGGTAGAGGTGTCAGAAAGGGACTTCTTTGAGTAAGAGCAGGGGCAAATTCCTGTATTTCTGGTTCATCCACCTCCTAGCCCCCAGATGAAAGAACCAGATGCACTAAGAACAAATATCTAAAAATGTATTGGGGAATCTAATAAAGAGGCCTCAGCAACAGAGCTTTGCTGAAAAGCAGGAGCAGAACAGAGGAGTCAAATCACAGAAGCACTTTAGATTTATTTAAAGATTATTCTTTCCCAGGACGGCTCTAGTGCCTGACTCTTCTTGGCTGAGAACCTGGCCTTTCTGGTTCATGGATTCTATGCCTCTGTGTGTGTGTGTGTGTGTGTGTGTGTGTGTGTGTGTGTGTGTGTGTGTGTGTGTGTGAGAGAGAGAGAGAGAGAGAGAGAGAGAGAGAGAGAGATGATTTACAGTACATTCTCTGACAAACATGTATACATATATGCATGCATATGTAACGATTGAGCTAATAGTTACATCATAATTTGCCTATGTAAACACAATGCAAAGTTGTTTGTAGGAGGTGGTGGTATTTCTTTAGAAATCAGCCACACTATAGTTCTTTTACACTGACAAAGTATCAGAAGCTCCCCACCCATGATGTCCTCTCTCTTTTCTTCCCTCCTTCCTTCCCTCCCCACATAACAAATAGGAAATTAGATGATCACAAGGAAAGGAAAATTGAAATTTATTTTTCATAGATAAATGTATAAATTACAATTATGAATGATGAGTATTTGTTGGATACATTAGGTGTTGATATTTATCTTTCTTTGGTCTTAAGGGAAGTGATTTAATAGTTTTTGTAATAAAGAAAAGTTCTTAGCACAGAAATGAATCCCATAAACAAACCAAACAAGTTCTTGAAAGCTTCAAAGTAACTTTATCACACCTATTATGATAGCTGACTTCAACTTCAGCTTCCATAAAATGGTTAGGATTGTGTCAGACCTTGCCCCAGAAATTTTTTTTGTTGTCATTATTTTTTGACGTTGGATTTACTAAAATGTGTCGGAACTCTTCAACTTACCTGCATGTTTTTAGTTCTGTGTCCCATTTGATAAAGTGTCAGAGCAGAAGCTGGCCTGTGTCTGGAGTCCTAGGTGCATGTTTTCCAGGAGGCTAAATGGCTCAGTGATTTTCCAATGACTCTTTTTTAAGACAAATGCCAATTACTTTTGGGTCATTGAGTCAGTTGCAACCATAATCAGTAGTGTCTGTAACTCCTCCCTGGTTAATGCCCATCCTCTGTCTTCAATGAAAGAGTACTTTTCAGCTCTGAAACATCCATCTTTGGTGGCATGTACCAGTTACAGACAAAAGTACAATGATCCAAAGATTTTGAAGTTTCTCCACCTAGAGGGTACTTGAGGTTACCTAGCAGAGAGAAAGGGAATTAGTCACTACTGAGTGCTACTGTGGGCCTGGCACTGAACAGTTGTCTTCACACACATACAGAGAAGCTTTTCTAGATCTTATTTCTAACATTTGAGGAAACCGGGGTTCGGATTATAGATTGGAAGCACATGAAACAACAACAAGGAAAAGTAGGTATGGTGTTCCTATACCCAGAGGACTGATGCTAAGTGCTGTGATCCTTCTGCTTCTTCCGAAGAGCGTGCTGCTGTCTGAAAGCTGGGAGCTGGCTTGGGGGAGGCAGAGAGAGACAGATAAATACAGAGATTTGTAAAAGGAAAGCTCCAGCTTGGCCTTCAGTTCTCAAGTATGAGCAAATGGATTTAGGAATCAATTTGAAGAGAAGGAGGACAGCTGTCATGCTGGCCTTTGCTTACCTTTGTGCTCCTGAGAGTGGTGCATTCTGTCACCACCACAGGAAGAGTCAAAGCAGCAATGGCAGCTCTACCTCATTCTTCTCAAGAACATGGCCTGAGCACACTCACTGCTCCTGAAAATACCATTAACGTTAACAATACCCAACAAGAGTGGACTTATTACTTTATTCTTAGACACTCCAGTACGGTGTATAATGTGTATGTTTTTCATATACCTTACACCCACTGATAATTGCACTGTTTCTGGAAGCCACTAATATTCTTGAAACATAATATTTTGGGAACAGAAGTTTAGGAAGATGATGTACCTCAAGGACCAGAGCTAAAATGTGCCATAAGAAATTTAACCCTAGCCTATCAAACTTCCTAGTCTTAGCTTTTGCTGTTATAAAACACATACACACATACTCAATATGCTCATAAATCATTCTTCTCATCAGATGCTTCAGACTCTTTCCCCTTATCTCTTACAGTTGATTATATTTTGATCATTAAAATTCATATATATGTTTAGTGAGCTTTTATACTTATTTAATCTTGACAGTGATTTTGAAAAATTACTTTCCTCAATATCACAACCTGTGGATTTCCTAATTATTATCTATCCCAAAATTAAAAAGCATATGTCTTTTGAATTGTATTACATTTACTTATTTATTGGCAGTGAGATACGTACGTCATTCTACACAGACTAGGTTGGCCTTAGACTTGTGCTATTCCTTAGCATTGAGATTACAGGTACATTACCTAAGATAGCTAAACTTTATCAGTTTTATGTAGTGTTTACTTGGGACCCAGGATGGGAGTTTAATCGTTTGATTTCTGATCCATTATAACTCTGCTGCAATGTTAAGGGTTGGGAATTCTGCTTGCTGTATAACCTTGAACAATTTATTTAAGCTTATTAAACCTCAGTTCTTTCAGTTATAGGATTTCACAAATTAATTATATAAGTATGCCTATTGGCCCAGAATTGATATTCTCTCACAGGTAACTGTATCATTAAAATTTATATTGTATTTTTGTGGTGTTATGGATCAAACTCAGAAACTTGCTGGGAAGTGCTCTAACTCTGAGCTATGTTCCTAACTCAATATTATTAATAGTAAAATAATGATTCATGAAATGTTTTTAATTATTATTTTTAGTTACGTGTATGTGCATGTTTATGTGTGGGTATTTGCATATGAGTGCAAGTGTCCACAGAGTCAGTGTTGTTGAATTCACCTAGAATTGGAATGATAGTGGTTGTGAGCCACCTGATGTGGGTGTTAGGATCTAAACTCAGGTCCTCTGCAACTGCTGAGACATTCTAGCCCCAGAAAATGTTTCTTGAATCCATGACTGCTAAAAACTTTGCCTGAAAGAATAGAGATTAAAAGGCTAATTTCAGAAATAAAATATGGCCTTTGATTCTAAGGAGTTTATAGTGTAATTTGAGAAATTAGGTAAACACACTAGAGATCATAATATATTTATCGAAACATTTTTGTGTTTTGTTGGGTGTGGTGGTGCACACTTGTAATCTCAGCCCTCAGAGGCTGAGGCAGGAGGATCATGAACTCCAGGTCAACCTTGACTACATAGTGAGTTCAAGGCTAGACTGAATTACACAGCAAGATCCTGTATCAAAAATCCAAGGACAAATGATGTAGCTTAGTGGTAGATTTTGCTTACCTAATATGTGCAAGGTCCTGAGTTTAAGTCCTTAGCACTGCAAAACAGAAAATAAGAAAATGTATATGCATAGACATATGCATTTCCACTTATATATGTGTATGCATGTACCCCAAAGACCTGCGATGATTCAGAGAAGGTCAACGTCCCTTTTATTTGGAAGGATGGGGAAAGACTTCATGAAAATGACAGCATTTGAGAAGTACTTTAGTTTTAATTATTAATTTATTACTTAATTCTTGGCTGTGCTGTGGATTATGCCTAGAGCCTTGTGAGCTGCATTATTACCAGCCTTTAAGCTACACCTTGAAAGAGAAGTTAAAGTTAACAGTTGAGCCATTGTGTGGTGTGGTGGCACATGCCTTCAATCCCAGAACTCAGCAGGCAGAGGCAGGTAGATCTTTGTGAGATCAAGGCCAGTGTGGCCTATATGGTGAGTTCCACCCCTAACTTGCCTTTGGACTCCTGAGACTAGTCTTCTACCCTGGCTGTCCCTACCCCCAACCTGCCTTGGATTCAGGAGACCAGTCTTCTTCCCTGGTAAGTCTGATCCTGCCCACTGTGCCTTGACTCCCCTATAGCCTGAGCAACTCCAATGTCCCTGACCTTGCATCCTGTTTTCCTTCTAGCCTTAGGCACAGGCCCACCTTTGCTCTTAGCACCCCAGATCTTTGGACTACCCTCTTAGCTTGTGTGGTGGCGAACCCTCCAAATCATGCTGTGCCCAAATGTCCTTACACTGGGACCAAGTGCAGCCCCTCCCACTGCTTCAGGGCTAGACTTCTCTGCCCTTTAGGGGCCCAGAACTTTCCAGACTGCATGAATGTGCCTGAATCCAGCCTCTGTGTGGTAGTAAGCTTTCCAAGTCAGGGCTTGCCCATCCTCCCACCTTGGGACCACTTATAGTCCCTACTACTGTTGCAGGATTAGGTTTCCTGCCTTATAGTAGGGGCCCAGACCATTGCAAACTGTATGAGATTGTCTGAATCCAGCCTCTGCCCAGCAAGGTTCCCAAATTGTGTTCTGCCTGCTGGCTAGAGGGGCCCAGACCTTAGGAGGAAGCCTGAGAGCATCTGATTCTTGCCTGACTTGGGCTTCTGCCAGAACTCCTGAGTAGCTACACTAGAGTCATCTGA